AAGCTCTCCACAAGTGATCCTTGGCTCTTGGACAACTCTTCTGATAATTATTTTCACTCCTCTGTCAGAAATCTTGTGAGGAGCATCTGGTCGTGGCCGGTTTAAGGTGAAATGATGTTCTTTCCACTTCTGGATTATGGCCCCAATAGTGCTCACTGGAACATTCAGAAGTATAGAAATCCTTCTGTAACCAATGCCATCAGTATGTTTTGCAACAATAAGGTTGTGAAGGTCTTGAGAAAGCTCTTTGCTTTTACCCATCATGAAATGTTTCTAGTGTGACACGTTGGTCATGAGACACCTTTTTATAGGCCATCAGTTGGGACTGAACCAGCTAATATTAATTTCCACTGACGAGGGGCAGGATTGCTTTCTAATTACTGATAGATTTCAGCTGGTGTCTTGGCTTTCCATGCCTTTTTGCACCTCCCTTTCTTCATATGTTCAATACTTTTTCCCTGTGTCATTCTACTTTATTACACAGAACTTAATTTCTGAACTTATTTGTTTTGCTTGCGTGGTGAGCGTGTATACAGGCCACGGCGGTTGAGTGCATTATTTATTGTACTTATTATTTTCTTTGAAACAATTGGACATGCTAATTCCAGGTCTTTCTGAAGCTCTCCACAAGTGATCCTTGGCTCTTGGACAATTCTTCTGATAATTCTTTTAATTCTTTCTGTCAGAAATCTTGAGAGGAGCACCTGGTCGTGGCTAGTTTATGGTGAAATGATGTTCTTTCCACTTCCAGATTATGGCCCCAATAGTGCTCACTGGAACATTCAGAAGTATAGAAATCCTTCTGTAACCAATGTCATCAGTATGTTTGGCAACAATAAGGTTGCGAACGTCTTGAGAAAGCTCTTTGCTTTTTTACCCATCATGAAATGTTTCTTGTGTGACACGTTGGTCATGAGACACCTTTTTATAGGCCATCAGTTGGGACTGAACCAACTAATATTAATTTCCACTGACAAGGGCCAGGATCGCTTTCAACTTACTGATAGATTTCTGCTGGTGTCTTGGCTTTCCATGCCTTTTTGCACCTCCCTTTCTTCATGTGTTCAATACTTTTTCCCTGTGTCATTCCATTTTATTACACATAACATAATTTCTGAACATCTTTTTGTCTTAATTTCTGAACTTATTTGTTTTGCTTTCTTTGTATGTATGGATTACTTGGATTGTTACCGACATCTGGTGAAAATTTCATGTCAACCACACATGTATGTATGTATGTGTGCGTGTGTGTGTGTATATATATATGTGTGTGTGTGTGTGTGTATAAACTACATATAATTGTCATATACAGATACATATATATTTTTTTATTTTACAATAGTTTTAAATAATTGTGTATAAATGTGTATTGTGTAAGTTTTGGAAATGGTCTTGACTGTTGGAAATGTATATTTACTATATATATATATATATATATATATATATATAGTTCAAGAAAATTATCCAATATTACATATCTGTGAGCGCAAAAGTATGTGAATCTCTAGGATTAGCTGTTTTTTTTTTCTGTGTTTTTAATCAGTGAGATGACTATCAGGTGTCAGTGTGTGCCTGTTGTTCATCAGGCTAGAAAATGTTTCAAAGGCATCTCTAAAGAGTTTGGATTCCACCAATCCACAGTCAGACAGATTGTGTACAAATGGAGGAAATTCAAGACCACTGTTACCCTCCCCAGGA